CTTCCTCCTCTTTTTTTCTTGCATTTCCCTGCATCCTGGAGCGCAGTGTGCAGAGTCCGTTTCTCCCGCTCCTGATTTCCTTCCTTCCTCCCCCGCCGCTTCCCCTCCCTGCCAAAAGATTTGCGTTGCAAAAGGGCAGCGGTGGGGTGAGGTGGGGGAAGTCCTGTGGCCCTGAAGTTGTGTGTGGAAGGGGGTCCCGGGTAGGGTGGGTCTCTCCTTTATTCCCTGTTCGACTTTCTGCTTTGGGCCGGCAGATCTCTTCCCCCCCCACCCCCGCTGCCTCCCTGGAGCGCAGGCTGGTGCTGGCGGTGTAGACGGGGCTGACAGAAAATGGTGTTTGAGTGCATTGGCATCCTATTGTAGAGCTCACCTATAAGACATCTGCAGATAAGAGTCAAATCAGACTCTCAAAAAATACCTGCTCTTGGGGGGGGGGGGGGGGGGGGGTTCTCTTTTTCTTCTTTCTCATTTTCTTCTTCCCCATTTTGCAAATGGCTTTACTTCATGTACAGAAGTGTGGTTGGTAGGACATGATTTTGTTTTGTTTTTTTTTACTTTTCCCCTTTGAATTATTTTTTTTCGGTGCTCTCTTCCTTCTTCTCTGCAAATAAATTGCATTTTTTATTCTTTGCATTTGGGGAGGCTCTGTTTAGGTTTGCATCTTGCCTTCTCCCCCACACTACAGCTCCCCTCTCTCCACCCATCCTTGTCTTTTTAATCAATGGAAACAGGGTCTTGAAGGCAGCAAGTTGTTTGGAAAATGAAATTCAGCTTGATAGTTAAGGTGTGGTGGCTTTTCCTGCAAAATGTCATCCTCAGAATGCTTCCATGATGTGAAGTGCTAAATAACAAATATCAGAGGCTGGGTACAAGTGAGAAATTGAGGATTCAGGTTTTGGGGAGGTGGGAGAGATGGTCTGGTAGGGTGTACTCCAAGCAAGTATTTTGCATAGGTGAACATCTTCGTGATGCTTCCTATTGCTGCGGCTCAGTCTAATTCACTAATCTCTTGGTGCTTAAAGAACCACCAAGTTCAGACTCTTGTCTGATCCATTTCAAATGCTGGATTCCCCTCCCTAGTGCTGAAGCTGGCTGTTGATGTTTCACGGAGAAAGCAGCTTGCTTCTTCATTCTTAAACTTAATTTAACTTGTTCCTTCCTGCATGCCCCTTGTCCCCAGAAGTGGTTTAGCAAGCACTTTGCAAACTGCATCTGTTGCTTAGTCCTGGGTTATCATGGCTGGGAGGGAAGTCTCTCTTAGAAAGAGCAAGCTCATTTCAGTCTCTTCCTGTATGTACCAGCCCAGTGATTTGCTCAGCATGAAATGTAAAAGAAATGGGTGGTGGATTCCTGCATGTTTTGGTGGCAAGGTTCAAATGAATCACTGCCTTCCGCTGAAGCAGTAATGTTTCTGAAGCTTTCTCTTCGATCCATTTTCTATGGTAGTTACATTTGTTAACTTTAGGTAGATTTCAGGGATTTGATGTCTCTCTTTTTCCCCTCTCTCTCTCTCTCTCTCTCTTTCTTCCCTAGGCCTTATATTTACTCCTGGTACTTCTGTTGGGGAATTGCAGAGTTGTTGTAAAATTTCTCTAGTCTTTAAGTATTTAGTTGTTGTAACATTTTAAGGCAGCCAAAACGAAAGTCAGTTTTCTTTGAGATGTGCAAAGGTTTTAAATGTTTGTAATGTTCTGAAAATCATTCCTGGACCTAGTATTTATTTTTAAATGTAAATCACTTGTAAGTAGAGATCTGTTTTTTAGGTTTTACTGAAGTTCTGAAGTGGAAAAATGCTTTGATGCGAAATAAGCTGCTGTTCTTTTGTTTTCACATAGCATTGTTCATGCGTTCTCTTTTTAAACATAGCATAGTTTAACATTTAATTGTAATTATTTTGGTAGTTTTATGACTTATCTAATCGTAGTGAAAAGCTTTGATCATTCTTAGCACTACTTTAGCCAGATTGTGCTTTGAATACAAATTGCGAGTGACAAGCGGTATCATTTTGGGGGAAGCACTTTGTAATCAAGTTTTTGGCAGCTCTGCTTTGGCTTGGGAAGTCTTGGTGGTGGGTGTGTACAACAGGCTCTGAATTGTTGCGTGCCAGCCCTAGATGCATGCTGCCTCAACTGGAGCAAATAAAATTTGCAAACAATTTTAACTGGGGTCTCTGCTGCTTTTTTTTGCTTCCAGGAGCTGGAGGAGGAAATGATATTCAGTGGTGTTTTTCTCAGGTGAAAGGGGCTGTAGATGATGATGTAGCAGAAGGTAAGAAAAGAACTTTTATTTCTTTAAGTTACCTGTCATCAGTTCTGGCGGTGGCAAACATTTTTAAATAATCTTCTCTGCTGAAGTGTCTTTGTGAAAATTGAACTTTATTTTTACATAACTATAACAAAGTAGGTAAAAGCAGTGAAAAATTAAATGCATATCTGAGTTTATGTATATTTAGACTCCAAGACTTGCGCCTGGGGTATGGTGGGTCCAACTTGGGTCCAAGCTCAGATATGGTGTCTATAACTGACTGGACTTTTTTTCAGTCACTTTTAGTCCGTGTGTTGCTTTACACAACTTGCTGTCAAATGGCCACTATTCTCAGTTGTGACACTGCTATTTATTTGTTTGTGGGTTTTTTTTTACATCCATCAAATATAGATAATGATGCTTGTTCATATTCCTGGCACAGGTGTTTGAAGATTGATTAATGTTTGTGTAGCACTTCTAAAGACAGAAGGTGCTAGATAAGTCACCTAACTTTGTTCTGATCTTTCTGTCATACATAACCATCAAGACTATCTTAACCTTTTAGCAATTAAACATTCATTGTTGAGAGGTTTTGTTTTTAGGACTAAAGTTATTAAAAACAGCCTTAAATTTTTGTAGTCAAGTGTTCTTGTATGGCCAGACATGGATGTCACTTTAGCAATGAGCCTGGTTTCAGTTTTGGGGAAAAATTCCACTTGTAGTTTTCAAATGTTACTTGCTTTGCCTAAGCCCTTTCTCACCATTCAGATGGCTAGGCTGAATGGAAGCCTAGATCCTGCATGCTGCTCTGTAGGGCTGGATACCCAAGCATCTGTTTTGCACAGAACAGCTTGCAAGATCAGGAACTAGAAGAATTTTGTCTTGCAGGGAGTTGTCTTCAGTGTATGTAATTTGGGTCAGCATTGTATAGGCTTTGCACTTCCTAACTTACAGACAAGTGTTAGATTTACGTTGCTTCTAAGAAAGAAGTAATTAACATCCTTTCTATTACTTCAGCTTTTTTTGAGTTGTGGTTTGAAGTACTCCAGGCTGGGTAAAATATGGACCATGGGCTGGGTCCAGTCTGCCAAGGGATTTTATCCGGCCTGTGGTGGATCCCTCTGCCCTGTCGTCCCAGGCTCGGGGCAGTCCAGGCTATGGCATGTGCAGCCGGTCCTCGTGCCCCTGGGCGTGCAGCATGATTGTGGCAGTGTAGCAGCAGGGTTCGCTTCCCAGCAGTCCCTGCAGCAGCAGCTCCGTCCAGCTGCCACAGTCAGTCTCTGCTACCAAACTCAACCCTGCTGCCAGGGCACCTTGACCTGTCTGCCCCACACCCACTGCCGGGGTTGCCAGACAGAGCAGATGTGTGGGGTATCCAGGACCCACATGGGTAGGGCGTGCTTTGCTAGGTAGATAGGATGAGGCCATGGGTGGGTGAGGAAGGGCATCTGGGAGCAGGGCGGGCAGACTCCCAGATGTTGACAATCTGGGAGTGGGGCTGGATGCAGGGCTGGGATCTTGGGGTGGTGACAGTGTGGGGCTGGGGCCCCAGGGCAGATCCCCAATCCATTGCCTGTACACCCCTGCAATGGGTGCCAGTTGTGCAGGCAAGGGTGTGGGGCGAGTGTATTGAGGCTCTTGCCCTGGCCCTGCACTTTCACAGCACTGTGATCTCAGCCCTGGCCCCGCCAGCCTGTTCCACTCCCAGATGCTGCTCCCTTGCCCACCTGTGGTCCCATCTGTTTGCCTGAATGCACCCTGTCTGCGGGTCCCAGGCTGGTTTCCATGGAGACCCTGGGATTGCTGGGCAGTGAGAGTGTGGGGCCTGGGGCATAGTCGCAATATGCTTCCCTCGCGCCCCTTCCTGCAGAGCCGGCACCTGTTGTAGGGGCGTGCAGGGAGTGGATTGTGGCTTGGTTTGGGGCCCTGGCCCCTCGATCCTGATCACAACCCCGGCCCCACTCACCTCTCCCTCTGTCCCCTACCTGCCCATGGCTCCATCCCATCCACCGGGCCAAGTGTGGGGCACAGCCAGGGAAGGAGTTTTGGTGAGCTGTTGCAGGGGGTACGAGTGGGAGGTGTTGATGCTCACTCTGCCCCAGGACAGCTCACCAGAACTCCTTAAGTGGACTTGCGGCCAAAATAATTGCCTATCCCTGAAGTAATCTCTGAAAGGCTGTCTAGAATTGCTACAAATGTAGCAGCACAATTGTCTTGTTTGTGGTTTTTGTTCAGGCAGCATGTTGCAACATGTAACAATAATAATGCCATTCAAGGATTGTCAGGCACTTACAGAAAGATGAAGTATGTGTCTCTGTCAGAAAACATCAAATTGCTCAGTAAATATTCTTAAATCCTGAATTCTAGATTACTGTTAAGTATTTCCCCTGCCAGGTATCTTTTTCTGGTGAATTTTGTTTCAGTTGGAATTCTTTAGCTAGCTAATTTCTTAATTAAATGAAGAAAAATTGGGGCAGTAGTGACTGCCTGTAGCAGTTGCTCACGAATATTCCTACTAATGGATTGGGCATATAACCCAGACAGTTTGCATCCCTTCCATGTAGTAATAGTGGTGTTTTTCTGCATTTCTGTGTATGAATGGGTTTTCCAATGATAGAGAAATCTGAGAGCCATGAAATTCTGTCCTTAGTTGTTCTAAAGCATTATAGTATGAAAGATGATTTGCCAACTTCCTGGCACAGTTGGACCACTACAATATCTGGTCACAATAGGTAGAGTTTGTTATCCTTAGCTGTGAGTGTATTAACTAGCTTGGATTTCATCAAGGCATTTGGTGACTTTTTAATCTGTGTATATGTTGTCCATTTTTGTTCATTCTGTTGATATACAGAAAGTAAAAGTCAACCTTTGGATAAAATGAAAGTATGTTATGGTTTTAAAGGGACTAAAATTGACTACAATGCTTACTTTCTTAAACTTTGAAATAGGTTTGTATTTTTTTATTAAAAACAAACAAACCTCAGTTTGGTGTGCCAGAGCCTAATTGATTGGTTTTGTGCACATGGAGGGGCTGCTGAAGTGTCTCTTCTATGTGAGAATCCTGGATCATAATGGATTTGTCAGGCTTGAAAGTCACTTTTTACTCATGACCAAGCTTTTACATGGCATGCTGGGAGCTCTTATGGAACTGTTCCTATGTATGGTTAATCAAAACAACTCTTAGCTTCTATCTAAGTATTTAAAGGTAATGTTAAATTTGGGAGAGATGCCTTATAACTGTAATACTTTCTAAATTGTTTACTGGTTAAATAGTGTATAAGGTTGCAGTGCTTAATTTTTTTGGTTTGCTTTTATCAACTGAAGTTTGCTGACTTACATGTTTTCATAATCTTCCTTACACATTTGGGACAGTACCTTGACATGCCCCTTGCCTCATCCCTGGGCAATTGACAAGAAAACTGTACTGTACTGTGTGGTTTTAAGCCCAGTGTGATAACCTGTTTCTCTTCCTGCTTCTGCCTTAAGCACACAGCATGTTGAAACTTTATTAAGAACCTTGTATGAGTCTTAAATGTGTGATTTCTTTTGCAAGCTGAGGCAGGATATATAAACCTGGAAGTGGACCAAGTGTTGCCTGTGATGATGACAGGGGAAAAGAGTCAGATTGTAGTTTGTATGTCTGTATCCAGTTTTTAGACAGTTACATAGAATATTGCTATTTAAAAACATTTGTTACATTAGCAACTTGTTTTGTTTAAAAAATGGGAATAAACTTTAGAACTATAATTTGCATTTAGTTTGATTTTGCAGTTTATTTTTTGCATCTCCTCAGGGTTGAGGTGGTTTCACTTTTTTATATATAGCAAATTTGAGTTATTTTCATTATCTGTTTTCTGGACCCTGCTATGTATGGTATTGTAATATTTATGATGAAAATATTTACTCCGTGTACAAATTATAGCAGTTTAATTTTAATTGTTTAAGTGATGCAACTATACATGTGGATATTCCATGTTTGTTTAAACATGGATTGAAACATGAAACCTTGCACAAGCTAAACTAATGAGTGTCCACATACAAATTGGATCCCTTTGACTACATCAGTTAATTGTTTCACTATATCTTTGTGTGGAAAACAAGCCCGAGTATAGGAGCATGGAGAAAGTTTATTTGAATTTTTAAAAAGCATTATGGGGAAAAAGCTGTATTAAGTTTGGCAAGAGTTATCTGGTACCAAGCTTGTAGTAAACTTAAGGTCAGATTTGATTCTGGTATCACTTTTTAACAACACACACACAACTCCTGAGTTTTAAGACTCTAAGAATAGATGGACTGTCTGTGTTACAAAGTGCTGTGCAAGGGACTGATGTATATTTTCTTTTAAAATAAACCATGCCCCCTGATTATTGCCTCTCAAAAGAATCCTGTGACTTCAGTTCTGTGTTTATCCTCTTGGATTCTGATAGCCAAACTTCTGGATGGTAGAGAATAGGCTAACTTGGGGAATGCGGGTGTGCACAAGGAATGAAGAGTTGAACCCCTGACTTTTTAAAAAATCTCAAATTTTGCAAACAAGCTTCATGGTAAATCTGAGGATGCCAACTTATAGTGCACAAAGTAAATTGCAGTGGATGAATTATAAAATCTTTGTGGTTCGTACTATAGCAATGAGTCCTGTTTTCACGCTTAATTGCTTTACATGTTTGTGTTTTAGTTTGCTGGATTGCATTTACCCAGTTTCTGAAGTGTGCATGGTCATGAGATTTTTTTTTTTTTCTCCCTCTGCATTTTTCCTGCAAGGGCCCGCATTTTGTAATGTCTCTAGTCAACTCCTTGGCTTTCTGTATACTGAGAAATTCTAGGGGCCAAGAGCTTCTGCTGGCTGTGTTGCTGATTCAGCTGAACCAAGATGCTAATGTAGACAAGACTTCTCTAGTGATCATTGACATTTCTGGCAGTGTCTGGTAAACCTAATCTTCAGTAAGCTTAATGAACATCATATGAAAGTATCTAGAATATGAGACCTTTTTATGCTATTGCTGCTCTGGAGCTAATTTGAATGG